ACGGCGATTTCCCAAGTGGGTCACGGGACTTCCGGACTCTTTCATACTATCGATTCAAGACTCATCGCGAGATGCACCGGGAGCTGAATTCGGGCGGGGACTTCTCCGTCCGAGAATCCGTGGATAAGAGGATGCTTTTATGCTTCTTTCTCGTCCATACGATTAGTGTTGACATGAGTGTGGAGCGCGGACGTTCGAGATTCGAGATGCGCGTTCTACTCTCGCTCAAGATTGATGTTTCGCAGCGCTCCCACTTTGAATCCTTCGAATGCTTTCGGTAGTCGATGCGGTGGGTGGTGACAAATGAGAGAAATGATTGTTGTGGCTCTCGAGTGAGTATTGCGCCGAGATATTTCCGTGATTATATGCGCAATCGGCTCTGTGTATGCTTACTCAACATGTCCGAAATCACTCTCGTGCAGGTAATCAAGATTGCGAGCCGTCTCTCAAGCCCTCCGCAATGAGCAATCCGAAGACAAGACCAAAGCGGCGATATTCCGAGCAGTTTCTGAAGTCTGGCTTCATTGCGGTCGAGACCAACAGGAAAGAGACAGCGCCTCTCTGTCTCATTTGTCTCCAGGTCTTGTCCAATGAGTCCATGAGATCCTGTCGACTTCAACATCACTTGAAGTCGAAGCATCCTCAGAAGGCCGCCTCGCCACTGGAGTACTTCGAGTCGTTGAAGGAAAGCTTCGAGAATAGACCAAGGGTAGGCTCTTTGTTCGCCAACTCCAGGTCCGCGGCGATTCGAGTTCAGCAAGCAAGCTATGAAATCTCTCTCTTGATCGCGAAAACTGGGAATAACCATTCGGTCGGAGAGCAGCTTATCAAGCCAGCGATAGCGACATTCCTCAAAACGGTCGGTCAGACTGATGACAAGGAAGTTGCGGCATTGCCGCTGAGCAACAATACGGTTTGCCGGAGAATCGATCGTATGGCTGAAGATATCGAGCAGAAGCTGGTCGAGAAATTGCGGAGCCGTAGCTTTTCTCTACAGATGGATGAGTCCACAATAAGACAGAGCGAAGCCCTCCTGATGAGTTATGTGAGATATATAGACCAGGAAGATCTGAAGGAGGAGATGCTGTTCTGTAGATCGCTGGAAACGACAACGACCGCAACCGACATTTACAAGCAAGTCCGGGAGTACTTGTCAGAGCATAAAATCCCTATAGAAAACATGGTTTCATGCGTGGCAGACGGCGCACCGGCCATGATGGGGAGAAAAAAAGGTTGTCTCAAGATGTTGAAAGATGACAACCCCGGGATGCTCACCATACACTGCGTGATCCACAGGGAAAACCTGGTGGCTAGAACCCTCTCACCGAGTCTTCACAAAGTCATGCAAGCTGTGATCAAATGTGTGAATGAGATAAAAGCAAAGCCCAAGTTCGAGCGCTTATTCGAACAGTTTTGTCACGGTCAGCAAGAAGCACACGTGCGGCTCTTGATTCACACTGAAATACGCTGGCTCTCCAAGGGAAACTGCCTACGAAGGTTCATGGAACTATTCGACGCTGTCGTCGAATTCTTGAAAGACAAGGAAGAGGTGGCTCTCCTCACATCGTTTGAGGGGAAAATTCTCGTAAGCTACCCTCGCCGATATCTTCGACTTTCTGAATGGCTTGAATTTGAAGCTACAAGGCAAGAAGGTCTCTCTAATCGAGGCGCAGGAGAGCATTCAGGGTTTCATAAAGTTCTTGCGAGTTGCTGCGAACAACGTCAGAGCTAGGAAACTCGATCAGTTTCTTTGGTTGAAGAAGTGTAAGCTGTCCGAGGGTGCCCTGATGATCATAGTTGAGCACATGTCGACGCTCATTGAAAATTTCAATGAAAGGTTCTCTGATCTCATAGAAATGAAGTTCCCACTTTGGGTGAGCCAGCCTTTCTTGGTAGACCTCAATGAGGCCGAGCTAGAATTCCAGCAAGAATTGGCGGAGTTGCAATCTAACCTGCCGATGGAGGGTGTTTTTAGAAATACGGGACCACGGGCATGGCTTTGTCATGGAATCAGGGAGAAATAATCCAAAATGTAGTTCTCTTGCCAGAGATATATTAATCCACTTTCCGTCGTCCTATTTGGTTGAGTGCGGGTTTAGTGCGGTGAATGACTTAGTGGACGCAAAGAGAAATCGACTTGAAATAACCAGAAGAGGAGATCTGAGGATAAAATTGACCAATATCGAACCGGATATAAAGAAACTCTGCGCGGAGCAAGTAGCGCACTTCTCCCATTAAATTAGCTCCTGATCATTCTAATAAAAATTGTGGGTGAGGAGGTTGACGAAGTCTCCTCGCTAGTCAGGAAAATATATTTCACTCCTTAATATTCGTCGCCATTAAAGAGTGTTTCCGAACACATGCTCTTTTTCAAAGGTGCTGGGTTTTGTCGTGGGCCATGGGGTCTTTGTCGAGTCCAGATGTGGGTCATTGGGGAAAACTCTTGGGAATCACTGCTCTAGAGGTCATGCGAGAACTCGGCGACTTGAGCTTCAAAGCTTCCAATGAATGGGCCCGTAAGTTCTTGAAACGCAATGACTTTAGCGTCAGAAGGCCAACAAGTGTGGGGCAGCCGGTTCCCGAGGATCACGTCGAGAAGATTGAGTCGTTCCGGAAATTCTACTCCGAAGCGAGCGACAACATCGACTTGTCGAACATCGGTAATTTTGACGAGGTTCCGGTGCCGTTCGATATAGTCTATGGAAGAACCGTCGCACCGAAAGGCTCAGACAGTGTGAAAATTGATACTACTGGTAATGAAAAGAACAACCTCACTGTGGTGCTGTGTGTCACAGCCGCCGGAGAAAAACTGCCTCCAATGCTCATTTTTAAAAAGAAGCTGATTCCAGAAGAAGATTTCCCACCGGGAGTCGTAATCAAAGCGAACCAGAAAGGCTGGATGAATGAATCCGTCATGATTGAATGGCTGAACGAAGTTTGGAGAGGACGCCGTTTCGCCAACCCCGACCCGAGCAAATCATTGCTAATAATGGACTCGGCCCGCTGTCACTTGACGGAGCGAGTGCGGAACGAATTGGAGAAGCATTCCAAGATTGCCGTTATTCCAGGGGGTTTGACAAAATCTTGCCAGCCCCTGGATTTAAGTGTGAACAAGGTTTTCAAAGACAACCTGAGGAAGTTGTGGGAAGAATGGATGTCGTCCGAAGAAAATGCATCCTATACTAATACAGGACGTCGAAGGAGAATGAGCTACGCGAAAATCGCCGAAGTCGTCGAGAAGGCATTTGAAGCGGTATCGGTGGAAGCGGTGGTGAACGGTTTCATGAGCGGACTCACACCGAGTGCTCGATTGTCTCCATCGACGAACGAGCAGGCAAATCAAGCATCAGATCACAGTGATTTTGACGACTACGATAGCGACCCATTCCAGGCTTTCCTTGTAGATCCTTTCCTTGTAGAACCTTTTTGAAATGTATCTCATGCATTAAACTCTCTGACGTTTCGGCAAATCTTTCAGTGACTCCTTGATGCTTAAGATCATATAATGATTATTTCTCGGATGGGAATCATTGCCTTCGAACTTCGAACAAGGTATGAAGATGCTTCCGTGAATACGAAATTTCTCATTCGCGGGGTCGTTTATACGTGAGGTTCTTCATACGCGAGGCTCCACCGTGAAGCCTCCACGCGAGGTTCGTTCTACGCAGGGTTCGCTATGCGCAGGGTTCGCTATGCGCAGGGTTCGCTATGCGCAGGGTTCGCTATGCGCAGGGTTCGCTATGCGCAGGGTTCGCTATGCGCAGGGTTCGCTATACGCGAGGTTCGCTATAGACGAGGTTGGCTATACGCGAGGTTCGTTATACGCAAGGTAGGGATCGTTATACGCGGGACTTAAGTGTACCGATTCCGGCCGCCTCGACTTCGCTCGAGCGGTATCGACTCCTCTAGTGCTTCAAGGCTTTTCATTGTCTCCGTGTCGACCTGGTGGGTACAGAACACAATCGTACTTCTCGGCCTCTGTCGTTCCGCATGTCTGGAAGAGATTAATTTCTACCTATGAACTCGCTCTGACACGGACAGCTGGGCCGAGGATTGACTGGGCCAAAAACCTACTGGGCAAATGGACCAAGTGAGCCGAAACCAGCGGGGCCAGAAATCGAATGGTCGGAAGAGTCCCAAACTCGGTCAGATGATGTGCTCCTCGTTCAGAGACTACAGCTCACCTTAAATTCCGCTTTTGAGCTGAGCCTCGTATAAGCAATGTACCGCATAAGCAAGCGTACCTCAGTACGCAAGGTTGCTGCAATTGGAGGAGACGCTTGCTACGAGGTTTCGGAGTTGCCCATACGGAGAAACTAGGTACAGACAGCTTCAGTATGGAATGTTGAGGGGGGGGGGCGCCGCTCGGGCTGCGGAGGTCATCGAATAGCCAAAGACAGACAGACGACGACGAACAGTGAAGATCTTTGATTTAATCATGGAGTCTGGTCACAGCAACAGAAATCTGGCGTGATTTACCGCGTGCTTAACAACATCGCCATCGACCTGACTGATCGTCTCCCCGGAAAGACACATTTCATCGCCGCGAACGTGAAGTCGGCGAGAGGGTTGAAAGGGATGCTGTAGGTGTCGCCACGAGACTTCACCGTGATTGTCTGATTCAGCATCGTGAGTGTCCTATATAGTGCCCTCCCAAGATCGAGGAAGACCGCGGTCCTTGTATCTACCCTGATGATCAAACCCCCATCGTTCGCTATGTAGGCGTAGTAAAAATTGGCGGCCTTGCAAATGATGTCGGCGAGCCGATGGACGGCTGGAAGGATTCAAAAGACTCGCTAGATCGACTCGTTTTGTCGGCTCTGACGAGGCATGGCTATCTCCCCTAGATGTATTGGTGATCGATACACACTTAGGAGAAGGGACTGACCGAACGCGGGCACGTTGTATCTGGTGGCGTATTCTACGATGAGCTTGGGACCGCACTTCCGGAAGCTGTCTGCGGCCCAGGCCTGTGCTCTCATCAGCTCCACGGGATTGAAGATCCGCAGCTTCTTGCAGAGGCTGAACTTCTCTGAGTAGTAGGGATGCCCCCAATCTATGGGCTTAGGCTTCTTCAATGTCTTCGCCTTGATCGCATGAACGTGGAAAAACGAACTCACCACCAAGGCCCCGATCGCTACAAAAGCGAGCGCTCTCGCTCGCTTCGCGAACATGATCTCCGAGACGGTGCGCCGGCGTTCTGCGGGGAAGTTCTGCTTTGAAGCGGAATAGGCTGCGGGCTTGCAGAGAGTGAACTCAAACGAAGCTCCCGAAATATAAACACTTCCAGGCTTGGAGAAAATGTGTGCTCAGATATCTTGATACAAGAAGCGCCGTTTTCTCAAAGATTCTCGAGGCGTCTGAGTAGACTTTCCACGCAGGCATACCTTGATTTTAAAGGTGACTAAACAATTGAGCGCAAATCAATCTGAGCGCACGTTCGATTTGAGCGCCAGTGCGGTTTGAGCGCGAAGCCGATCAGAGCGTAAGGCCGATGAGAGCGCAGCCCGAATCGGGCGCGACCAAACAGAGCGCGACCGAATTGAGCGCGGATCCGATTTAGGCGATCATCTTGCTCATTAATTTATTTCATACTAGCGCTCCCGGTCGCCGCTTCGCGGCGACTCGGTATCGCTAGACTCACTACACATGCGCTAGCTCCGAGTGCGCTGGCTCCGAGTGCGCTGGCTCCAAGTGCGCTGGCTCCAAGTGCGCTGGCTCCGAGTGCGCTGGCTTCGGGTGCGCTTGCTTTGGTCGCGCGTGCTCTTGGTGAGCGTCCCGTTTCCCTGCTTTCCCGTTTCCCTGCTTTCCCGTTTCCCCGCTTTCCCGTTTCCCCACTTTCCTGTTTCCCCGCTTTCCCGTTTCCCAACTTTCCCGTTTCCCCCGCTTTCCCGGTTCCCCGCTTTCCCGGTTCCCCACTTTCCCGGTTCCCCGCTTTCCCGGTTCCCCGCTTTCCCGGTTCCCCCACTTTCCCGGTTCCCCGCTTTCCCGGTTCCCCGCTTTCCCGGTTCCCCGCTTTTATTCCATATGTTCTTCGGAAAATCTATACCCTTCACGGCTACAGCAATTCTCAGCGAGATTCATTAGTAGAAAGACAGAGGCCAATGATGACGGCAACCCCCGATAGCCTTCTTAGGAGCTCCCGAGAATCCGCCCCCTCATAGTGCTCCAGCCGTTGAAAGTCCTGCGAATTCCCGTCTTTCCCTTGATGAAATCTTTGATTCTCGGTGAGAGGACCACTCAAATCATTTTTTTATGGGGGGAGGACCCATAACATGAGAACGACGACCCTCATATGACCTTCCTGAAGCTCCCGAGAACCCGACCCTGAATTTTTGCGGCGATCGGTTCAGGCGTTAGTGAATTTTGCGAATTTGTGATTTTTCAATTTTTTTCCGAGTTTTCGTATTTTCGTGAGTGGAGCACTCAAATAATTTTTTTAAGGTAGAAGGACTCATCGCATCGGAGAACTGACCCCCCTATAACCACCGCTGGATCCCCCAGGACACACTCCTAAATTTTCACGAAGATCGGTTCAGCCGTTTTCGAGTCTATAGGGTACCCCGGACATACAGACAGACAAACAGACAGACAGACATACGTTTTTATATATATAGATGTACAGGTCCCATCAACAAGTTCTCAAATTCTTCTCAAACAACTTCACCAAAGCCCAGCAAACGACAGAAAAAAGACATGACCGAGGGTAGAATAACCATGAAACTCGTTTAAAAATAACGTGTTGTCACTTTTCTAAACTAGTCGAATGATAGGTTGTGCGCGACTTTCTTCAGATACTTCAGAGAATCCATGGAATGGTATGAATTGACAATATCACACAGCCGTGCAGTTCTACCGCGATACACACTCCGTTGCGACGTATCCGAGCCTTGTGAGAATGAACTCAAGACAACGTATTCGGTCTCTCCTTGCTCGAGCTTCAATTTTTCCACAAGTTCCGAGAACGAAGGATGACGAGAAGCGAAGCGATCCGCGAAATTTGAATGCCAACCTTCGCCATTGG